TCCCGCGGGAGAGGGTACCACCTAGCACCGGACGTAAGCAAACAGATGCGGATAACGTGATCGAACGACATACAGAAACTTGGAGTTCTCGAAGTATATATCGCACAACCGAAGCGCCTGCTCCATGGTAGGCATACACGAGAGGAGTTCCTCGGCCACTTGTTCGTTAGTACAGAAGACGTCAAGCTCCTTGCAAGCCTCGTCGACTGTAACCTGTGTCAATCTGGGCAGCGTCAGGAAGTTGCCCGTCGGACCGAGCCTTTCGGGTGCCTTGTATACACCGTGAACGTAGTAACTTGCAAATAAGCGTCCTGAGAACATACATGGATGAGGTACTGGCGATGCACTTAGTCTGAGAGCGATCGGGATGTTGCATTGTACTCTTCACATACCTCCGTTCGTGATGTTTGGCCAAAGAATCTGGCCTCTCCTCGAGTACCAAGAGTCAGCGTTCCTTTTTGAATGAGTGATCAGTTTGATACAAGTGCTTCAAGACGCAACAGCCCCACCGAAAGCGTCTAGGACTTCCTCTTCGCCCTCTTCAGAATGTGACTCCTCAGGGGGCGAAGGCTGTGAACCGTTGCTGCCGCTTGCCTGCGATGGGCTACCCGACGGAGACGTCAAGGTCTCTGTGCTAGTGGAACTAGGGGCGGTAGCTTCTTCTCGGAGTAGCGGGTGAGGGCCCTGCGAGAGGGCTCTTAAGGCAGCTTCAAGGTTCGCAATCTTTTCCTTGAGCTCCTCTACTTCAGCTGCTGCCTTGAGTCTACATTTTCAGAAACATGAGTACCTAGTTCCTACGCATTGCAACCACGATGCGAGACATACTTCGGCCCCTTGGTCGTAGGGAGGGAGCCTGACAATGATTAGCCCGTGAGCCACATCAATCTTCCGATCGCAGGTCGTGTCCACCGAACACTCACCGTCGGGGCATAGGGCAGCACACCCTCTTTTCGTACACGACTCGCATGGGACCTAGAAAAGACGTAACGACATAATCAATACAGGATGGCGCCACGCATTCTCCGTGGACTACATCAAGTCCGAAGGCACTTACTTGACGATCACAACGCAGCTTGAGCCTGGTCAATCGTGGATCATCAGTTCCCGCTCGGTGCTTCGTTCGGAAATCCGCAGTTCCACTCACCTCCGACATTCCGCGCATGAGACAGGTACTCTCCCAGGTTTGCGCCTCTGCCTGGACTCTCCGTCCACGCCAGAACCCGCTTGGGATTCCTTGTCATTTGTCCTAACAGGAGCCATACTGTCTTGGTGTAGAACGCTAGCTATGGACGTAGTACAAAATGGTGGCTCCTGTAAGGCGGAGGCAGATTATAAAGGCCGACAATTGCTAGCGGCAATCCCTTGGTGATGATCGCGGCTGGGCGCCTGGGGCGTGAGCCCTACGCACGTTCCGAGTCAGTCGGAAGTGCCGAGAACGCCGCGCGTATGCATCGGCATCGGCAGCCGATCATGACTAAGCTCATCCAATGGTCCATCCGCTCAGCTATAATAATTGTACTGGCAAAGAAATCATATCATTGTTCATCTCATCCTAGGACACAACGTGCTCAAAACCTTTACAACAACCCCTAGATCCACTACCTGGGAGATGATATACAAGCATTCGTAGATCCGTTCGTGACAGCCATTTCCGAATTCCAGACCATGCGTGTAGCGCTAGCCCATCATGTTTCACGCTCCATACTGCCGTTGAAGAGGGCGATAAGAGCCCGGAACTTAGCCAAGAGGACGGTCTGAGACTCACCGTAACTTGGAGAGAGTCAGGCCAGTAGCCCGGAAGCCCAACATGGTCCGTATACATGTCGAAGTCGACCCCAAACTTCTGCGTCTGCAGCTTGCTGATCGTACCAGCAGGTCCCTTGACACGCTGCAGGTTCGGGAGCTGGAAGACGTTCTTCACGATCTCCACGACAATCTGCGCCCGAGATGCCATCAGCCCTGGTTCTTCCACGATGACGAGGAGATAGATTACCTCTTCAGCTTGGGAGCTGCCCAGGCACCTATAGAAACTGGCAGCCTGCAGGACTTCGTAGGCCTGTGCAGACCGGCGAGGGTTGATCGTCAATGGATCGGGGAAATCGTTGGGCTAGACGCGAAGAGCATGGCTCCGGATGAGCTTCTCGAAGTGTGCCGTTATTAGAAGAGTCTTACGTTCACGAGCGCCTTCTTGAGGTCGAGCACCAACGTCTGCTTCGGCTGGCCAGGGGGTGTGCTGGAGACGGCATCCTCACGTAAAACGGCGGCGAACTGCGACGATGCTCGTCAGAATACCCTCCAATGAGAACGATTTTGGTCGACAAGCAAGTACCTGGGGGTTCAATCCTACAGACGGTGGAACTCATGTTAAGGCGCACGTGGGTAAGAGGTTCATGCACCACTCACGCTGGGCTTCTCTGACGTATCCCTTCAGCAACTCGTGACTGGCGGCGTCCTGCGCTTTCGAGAGTTTCACAACCTCCGCCAGCTCTGTGGCGCGATCAGCGTCCAAGTAGAAGTCCACGATTTGGGCCGCCGCTATGATGCGTTGGTAAGTCATCCACGTCTCCACGCCAGAGAAAGTAGAACATACTCTTCGCCATGCTGACGGACGAGGCCACGGCGAAACCTAGGATATCCGCGACGAGCTGCTGATGCGGGGCCTTCGACTGAGAAATCGTCTTGAGGAAGTCGTGCGAAGGCTCATGAGATTGGAACAGGAATGCTGAGATCGTCTTGATACCGAGTCCAGGAACGGCATCGCTGAGAGCCTTCTCGATGAACTGGGAGAGGATTTGGGCGAAGTAGGATGCACGCCTGCTGATAGACCAGTTGTTCTCCGGCAAGGAGTTGAAGTAGACGGCAGTGAAGACTAGCTTCAACATGTCGTGCACTTCTACAGGCGTGAGCAAGCCATCCTTCTTGTCGGCCGTCTTCAGCGGGATACCAAGCTAAAGCCGATGGCGCGCATGTGAACAAGCAATACGCTGCTATCGATGTATGGTACGCACGATGAATTCAGAAACCCAGTAGATTGGCGCGAGGTTAACAACATTGCCGACGATGTCAAGACGTGAGCCAGGAAGGCCGTCGATGTCGAGCGAGTGCTGCTTGATCAGCTTTTGCACTGTCTGGCCGATCCACTGCACATGGGATTTGAGAGCATCCTGAGTCGGGAACAACGCCTGGGTAAGCGCGAGCTTGCGTGCGTCGCCACTGTCAAAGATATCAGTACCTATTACTCAAAGGTTGAGATAGCCTACGCACACATCCGCGACAACGGAGAATTTGCTCGCAGTGGACTCAAAGACCTTGCTCTCAACCGTGGGGTAGTGAGCCGGGTCCTTCAAGATCTTGCTGATATCAGAAACGGTGTCCACAATCTTGTCCACCGGCTGAGGAACAGGTCGTTGGAAGTCGTACTGGTCGACGAGGTGGAGCTTCGTCAAGTTCTGCTTGGTGACTTGCGGAGTGAAGAAGGGGAATAGGGCATAGGCGCTGTTCTGTTCGGGGCGGACGCGAGGTCAGACAGGGAACACTCCTATTTCGGACAGATGGGTCACGCACCCCAGGGTAGTGCCTTGGAAGGTGTCGGAACAGCAGCCTGGGGAGCGCCGCACCGAACGCGCCATTGTCGGGGTCACGCGCGCAGTCCTGGAAGCCCCACGCGGTGAGGTTGGCAGCTGCAGGGAAGTAGAAGATTGGTCAACCGAGACCGCTCTTGGGACCAAAGTAACCTACGTGTATAGTCGGTGGTGTAGAAGCGGTCCCCTAGAAAGCAAAAAGGAGTCAATCCACTGCTCGTGGACAGCACGGGCGGCGCGTGTTGGCATGCCGCCGCTGGTCTGTGCAGATATGAAACACTCACCGCGAACGAGGGCGATGGCGTCGCTCAGGATCGCGCGCGTCATTGTGTAACCGCAGCAGAGACCTGAAGCTGGACCCAAGCCCATGATTTCCTGCACCGCCGATGAGTCATCAATATAAAGATGTCAAGTAAAGTTGCAGCCAGTGGTCACCTCAGCCTGGAGACCTGGATAGAGTTCCAGATTATCAATGTGCCCGTAGAGCTGGCGAGCGGCGTTCTGTAAAGGTGAAACACTGCTCAGCCCCGCTTACACCACAAGTAGTACGTGAACAGCCCGGTGGAGGACAATTCGACTGAGGGTGTTCAGAAGACATACCGCAATCTCAGGATCAGAGTTCCACTCCTCGAACGTATCGAACCGCTTCAGGCCCAAGAATTCGCGGAACTCATTCATCGTGCAGACACCCCACTGCCGTGCCTGCACCATACCCAGGATCTCTACGACACGCAGGCATGCGGGCGAGCCGCGCGCACGGTACGCGCCTGCCTGCTTCTCGGTGGCATCCTGGAGGATCTTGGCCAGGTCGTCATCGCTGAACCGGCCGTTCGTACGCTTGAGACCCGCGAAGGTGCGAGTGCGCGGGTCGGGGTCGACCTGCTTCCAGGTGTTCAAGACGGCGGGGATGAAGTCCGAAAGCTCCAGCCTGTCGAGGGGCTTGTTGACACCCTTGAAGGCATTGTTGAAGATGTCTTCCGTCCACTTGATGTCCGCCGCCGCCGTTGTCGCGTGCCACTGTCCGTACAGGTGATGATCAGTTCATATTATGTTGTAAATGGGGCACGGACGAGCAAGACGTACACGATAGAGGACATTAAACTCTACAGAGCACTGGTTGCCATCGCCGCGACCGACGACCTGACCATCGGGAGTCTTGATAGGCTACAAACGATATGCGCTCATGTTAGTTCGATAACATCGCAATGGAAGGTAGGCTCACATCGAAAGGATTCATGCTCCACGTGCAGCCGTCACGGCCCAGACCGAGGAAGCCCGCAACATAGTCGCCAAAGATCATAGCCATGAAGTTCCCGCAGCTGTCGTAGTCAGAAACGTGAGCAAGAACCGCTCCGGTGATAGAAGCAAAGATGCATACTTGACAAGGCGAGCGGTCTGGAAGATCTCTTCGTCTTGACGGGCGCGGGCATCGGGGTCAGTCGGTGGAGGATCCGTCCAGCGTCCACGCTCGTTCAACTTCAACAGCATCTCTGCAATGTACTGTGGGTCCCGTTCATTCAATATTCTAAGGAATGAGGAGGACATTCGTCATGTCACTTACGTTGTGGTTGCGGCTGAAGAGGACGAGCAACGCGGTGGCAGCGGGGGGAACGAAAATGAGCCTTTCCTCAGCAAAGGCATCGGGATAGAGGAGGCCGCGACCCTGTTCCTTGTCACGCACGGAGTCCTGCTCCTTCTGATTGGTGCCGTACAAGATCGACAGGTCAAGGTACGAAGACGTGTTGTTCTTGGTCATATCCCTGGGGTCCGTGCGGAATAGCATGTGCGTGACCAGCGAGGCATATGCAAACGTCAGCGAAGAGTTGCCTCCCGGATGGTTTTGGAACTGTGGAAAGGCACCAGTCAGCGATCACCTTCATCTGTGATGGCATGAGATTGACCTACGTCACGCGCTTTCAAGAGCGAGTCGAAGACATCGCCCGGGTCGGGCAGCGTGCTCGATGGGAGGGGGTACTTGCTCTGCACACTCCTGGCGTAAGGAGTTCCGGCTTTGCCAAGATTGGGCAAGTTCACGTTGTTTCCACTCCCATCTGCAGTGCGGAAAGTGAACGGGAGGCGCTGAGGGGTAATCGCGCTTTGCAATCCAGGTGCTGGGACGGCCGGCGTAGGGGTCGCAGCAGGATAGTCCGTCCCGATATACGTCACCGGAGGGTGGGGTAGGGTGTTGTAAAGCAGAGTGATTACTTGATTGTTCATCGCGATGGACTCCGGTGAGCCTTGAGGGAGCCAGCACAAGATATACAGAGTTTTTGTGAACTAGAAGAGTTTTCGGATTCAGCTGTGCAGAAGAATACATATCGACTGAGTAACTCACCAGCTTCTTGCGATCATCTAGAGAGTTCGAGTGAATGACCGAGTCAACGAGTGCTTGATAGGTCTGAGTGGATTTGATTGTTGAACGTTAAGTGTCTACCTGAGCACGCAACAACACGCTATCACTATCAACTCACCGTCGGATCGAATAGCTCTGTGACAGCAGGAGTGACCAGCTTCAAGCTATCCTTAACGCTGGAAGCGACTTTGTACAAATCTGAGTGAGGGTCGCTTCTGGTTGTGCTCGTAATAGGCTGAGCCTCCGGGTCGTAACGACCATCGGGCGCAATGGGCAAGGCACGCGAAGCGAGGTGTTGCGCGTCGGCAAGAGTCTGTATGTGTGTAAGATCAAAGACTGTCCAGCAACTCGATCGAGGATAATCAACGTCTCGTCGCGCTTACCACCACATCGAATAGACCAAGCGCCATGTTGTGCGGTAGGTTTCGGAAGAGTGGAGGGATTGGGACGGGATGCTGGGGCTGAGGAGGTTGGCTCGAGCTGGCTACAGTAGATATACAAAACGGACGTCGGCCCAGTCCAGGGAAGAATGGCTGACGGTCACGGTAGAAAGCGAAGGACTCTGCTGTGCAGCACCGGCGGTTGGAAGTTCCGTGTCCGGCATCATCATGCAAGGCGTGTGTTGTGCAGATAAAGTGTATAAGATCACCAATTTCAGATCGCTGTATAAGGTGTACGGAGCCTACCTCTGCCCCGAATTACGATACCACGGCCCTGAGCGCTGAGGGTAAGGGTCTGCGAGGTAATGACATTGACCGATTGCGGGGAAGATGGAGGCCGAACATGTAAGGCGCTCCTGAGATGACGGACTCGTGGGCGAGCCATGGTTCCCGTGCTTTGCTTGGGCCGAAGAAGGGGGAGATAGTACCTTCATAGGGCGAGGTTCCATGCTATGTAGCGATATGGAGAGACTGACAAGCTATTCGAATGCCGCGGACGCGCATCTAGGAGACTCGACGAGTTCTCAGGAACTGTCGTCGGCTTTGATTTAGCACAGGTACCATGACACAGGGTAACTGGGATTAGGGCGCTCAAGAGAACATCGGCGTCACTGCAATCATCAAAGCTTCCGAAGATAAGGGCGGCGACTTGATGACTGGAAGGCAAGAGAACACGAGAGCGGATCGGCACGCTCCACGATGGAGGCGACAGGAGCAGGAGAAAGCTGCAGCCTCCTGAGCTGTGGGGGCGACGATGAGCACGCGGACAGACGTTGGACTTGTCGTTCACTGAGCTTCCCGATTAGATCTAGAAACACCGTCGTTAGGCGCCCGTGTGCTACTCAGCGCTCAACCGGCATGGGAGCAAGTCCCTCCACTTCGTCGTCGACTTCCTGATTTGCTTCCGTGCGCAGTCCATCTGCCACTTTCCTGACCGTCTCCTATCCCGCCATCTCACCGCACGACCTCCTCCCGTCATCGTGAGACAAGATCACGCACTACAGTCAGATTCCGCTCGTGAATATGATTAACTTCGAGGTCGTGTTTCAACCGTACCGCTCATTTGGTTTGACGGTGCTGTGTACTCCACCGCTCTCTTTCGGAATCCTCGATGTTCGCTGGTGGTCCTCCGGCTCATCGGTCACTCAACCTATACCTGAGTAGTCAATATCTCGCTATCCCTTGTTGGTCTCCGGGCTTCTTTCCGAGATTATGCTATACACCATCGCCTCCTTAGTGCTTCTGAACTTTTCAGAATTACGTACCGGACCAGTTACTCCCATATAACCGGTCGACATCGATCACGCCCTACCTGGTATCGGGTTGTACTGAAAAGCATAGTCCGACGCGACCTGTCTCACATCCATTGCCCATGCACTCCTTCGCTGCGGGAGCCAGCGCCGATCACTGACTTCTTTGAGCCATCTGCCACGCTCGCGCCCCGCCGCCGACGCCGAGCGCGCCCACTCCACCATCGACATCACGACATCTTCACACCGCCGCCGACAAGCGATCGTTTCGCAATATAACAGGATACGATTTCAGACGGGTATGCTTGTTCCGGATCCTTAGCATATAAACCATCCTCCCCTCCCACGACTTCCCTCACGATTCACGACCGTCACGACTCTCTTTCTCGCCTGTACCAGCTTCACGACCTGCCATGTCCCCCATTAGCGCAACTCCCAACCTTGGCACTCGGGCTACTACTCAAAGCACGGGTTCTCGACATTCTTCCGAGGCGGCGCCCTCGCTGCCCCGGCCTATGACGCCGTCTAGTGTGCACTCTTCATCAAGCGAGACGGGGGACAACGATATTATCCCGCCATACCACCCGGCAGCTCCCAGGACACTTGTCCTCTGCTTCGACGGTACTGGCGACCAGTTTGACTCAGATGTGCGTAATCCCTTCTCCGTCATACCGCGCGCCACAGCTCCGAACTCCGAATCCACCCCCCTTCTCCAAATGCGCGTACAGCAAATAGCTGACTCCGGAATTCCTCTCGCAGAACTCGAATGTAGTCAAGTTCTTCAGCTTGCTCAAGCGCGATGATCGACGGGAGCAGATGGTTTACTACCAGGTATGTGACACCGGTCTACGCCCTTGAATCCGATCGCGATCGTACCAACCTGTGTGCCGCTTTCTGTGGCGTCCCTTCCTCGCGTAGGCTGGGATCGGGACCTACACGAGCCCACGAGTCTTCAGCTCCGCCGGCCAAGCTATCTTGAAGACCCTTGACGAGATGGTCGCGTGGAACCTCGATGCGCATGTGATGGGTATGTCCCCTCGCGTTCCTTCCGCTGTAAATGGATAATATCTAACCATACTATACCGTAGGCGGATACGAGTTCTTGATGCAAAATTGTAGGATCGTCCGTTCCATTCCACCCTTTACGATATTGACCTCGCCTCTTCCCATTGACGTGCCGGCGCAATGTGCATATAGATGAAGCAGGCGACAAAATCTGCCTCTTCGGTTTCTCCCGCGGGGCGTACACTGCGCGCGCGCTCGCGGGAATGCTACACAAGGTTGGGCTACTCCCATCGCACAACTTCCAGCAAATACCCTTCGCGTACAAGATGTACATACGCACGGACGAGCTCGGCTGGAAGCAAAGTACGGCATTCAAGAAGGCATTCTCGATCGATGTGGACATTGACTTCATCGGCGTTTGGTGAGTCCGTTCTTCACGTCACACAGAACTGCACCCCGGCACGCTGCGTAGCGCGTACTTGTCGTCATCTCGCTCCAGAAGCCCTGCCCTGTCGACATTTCCCTTCATCGCGTCACCCCTTGCCCTCCGACGCCTGAACTGACCATGTGGTCGCACAGGGACACCGTCTGTTCCGTCGGGCTCATCCCTCAAAGGCTTCCCTTCACTGCGTCCAACACCGCGATTCGTGTCTTCCGTCACGCGCTATCGCTGGACGAGCGCCGCGCAAGGTTCAAGGCGAACCACTACAATCGCCCGTCAGAGTGGGAGAAGAAACAGGGCACACACGGGGACATGCCTCGCCCCGTGCAACGTCATTTCACCATGCGCCGGAGCACGACTAAGACTGTACAGGCGCTCGAGCGCTCAAAGTCGACGTCGCCCTCCCGATTTGCGCACTTGGCGCGGGGCATGACGCACGCGCATGGAAAAGAGGAAACGTCTGCTACCGGCACGACGGCTGTCGCGACCTCCGCAAACACTGTCACAAGCGTCGCTGCCGTAGAGCAGGAAGTAGTGCAGACTGCGGAGAGGATGGGGGACGACGTTGAGAAGGTTGTAGAGAAGAGCACAGAAGTTGCGGAGGCGGTCGCCGAGGTTGCGGACGCAAACGGGGTCAAGCTCTGGAAGCACGCCAAGGGACGCTTCGACACGTTCCGTACGCTCTGGCGCAAGAAGAACGGCAAGCGCCTCTCACAGGAGGAAGATGAGTTCAATAAGACAGATATCATCAACGGCGAGACCGACGTTAAGGAGGTCTGGTTCGCAGGCTGCCATTGCGGTGAGTACTGACAGTTCCCGTCTTCCCCCTTACCCCACATGGCATTTCAGGGTCGCCGCTACCCACCGGGTTTTCGACTTCCATTCCGTGTCCGATGTCAACGTCACGTAGAGCAGAGCTGACTAGCGCCCCTGCGCGGCTTCCTTAAACGTACTCCGACATGCAGACGTTGGCGGCGGCTCTGTCGCAGACAGCGAGAAGCACTCCCTAGCTCGCATCCCGCTGCGTTGGATGGTTCGCGAGTGCTTCCGCACCAACACCGGCATCCGCTTCCATGCCGAGCTCCTCAAAGACGTCGGTCTCGATCCTCAGAACCTCTGGCCGCACGTGAAGGACCCGTACGAGTTCGGCCCGGGGCTCGAGCACGCACCCCAGATCCCACCGCTGCACCCTTCCCCACGGATATCGCTCGACCCGCCGACGCCCCCAGAGAAGTCGAGGCAGGACGTGGAGAGCAAGTACGTCCACGCAAACGGTATCTTCGCGCACCCCCCGACTGTATCACATGCGTCTCCTCCCTCATCGACAGCGTCGTCGACATTGTCGCACTCGCATGCACCAGAGCATGCACGTCATGTGTCGATATCGACGACGCGGACGGTCGTAGGCTCATCGCCCACGGCCCAACAGGTGGCACATGCCGAGCCTGCGGCAGAGCTGGACGTAAACGAGGCGAAAGAGGAGCGAGAGGACGCGCTGTGTCCTATCTACGACCAGCTCAGCCTCCATCCATGGTGGTGGATACTCGAAGTACTCCCTATCAAGCAGCGCAAACAGCTCAAGAACAACACTTGGAAGAAGTACTTGGCGTGAGTGCTCCATTCCTGCGCGACCTCGTGCATGTCATTCTGACCCCTCTTGGCGCAGCATCAACCTGGGGCACGGGCGCACGGTGCCCCCATACACGGAGCACTTTTATGTGCACCACAGCGTGAAGCTCCGGATGGAGGAGCAGAACCTGCCTGGCGGGCTGTACAAGCCAAAGGCAAAGTGGGACAACAAACTTCAACCCATCTACGTCGACTGAGCTCGCGCCTTCGTTCGTCGTGCATTATCCCTCGCACACTGTCGGCCGTGAGCGGCGATCTCTCACTATGTCTTCCTCTCTCGTGATCGAGCCCCCGTTAAGGACGGGCTCTGTTCAATGGGAGTGGTCAGAAACTGGACGGATGTATTTTTATTTACTCTGTATACGGATCCTACAATGCTACGGTTCGATGCTACGATAATTGTTCATAGTGATAACGCTTGGAAATGATTTAATGCACGAGAACGCCGTTAGTCTCCGTGAAATGTTTGTCGACTGTTATGGATCGTCGAGTATTCGGGAACATGCATCGGCTGACGAACAGTTCTTATATCATCCGTTCGCGACTGCGCAGATGACCCGACGGCTCCGGACGACAGAATAGAAGACGTATGGAGCGCCGGCGTTTATTACATGTACTGAACGTTCATCTGTCTGCCGGCTTCGCGTTCTCACGAACTGCAAGATGGTGGACCGATCCATGCCGCTTTCATAAAACAAAGTACGTAGAGCGGCGAGACCGTCCTTCTCCCATTGGACGGTGCTTTACGTGATGGGAGCAGCGTCGCCTTGCAGGCTGGCTCACGATCGCACCGGTTAGCTGGCGTGGGCGAGCTTTGAGAGGTTCGACAGGTGAGTTTCTAAGCTTGCTGGTCTGCGCGGCGCTCTCTCTCTCGAAGATTCGAAGCTTGACCTTTTCGTGAATCTGAAAATGCTGTAAACACCACAGTGAAAACCCGGAAGCGCTCCGCCTACCCCGGGAGGCTATGTGCACTGGGCCGGTCATCCGTGCACCTCCGGCGATCTCGCCCTTGAGGACCGTTCAACGCCCGCGAGGGAATTTGTCTTGTCGAGGATGAACACCACCCAGGGCGCCCTTTGCGATGCACCGGAGAGCCCCTTCGCCGAACGGGGTCGGGGCTTGGCTGTCGCGCCCGACGAGGGCGCATTGCATGATGGCAGATGCCCCGAGCCAGCGCGGACATCTAGCGCCATCTCAGCCTGAGTAGATCGTCATCCGAATCGGGAGAAGGGGCAGCTTCCATTCATTACCTTAAAGAGCGTCCAGCATAGATGGGCCAGAGCTGCTCGCGTAGATTCACACTCGCGAGCTTCACATGTCCTTGCTGTCCGGTCCTTCAGGCGGCTCGTGTCATAGCTCTATACCGCCGTCTCTTACCAGATTACCGGATGTCTGCCAGCCATCCCCATCCCCCGGCGTATATAGTACGGTCTTCCCTCGGACGGCCCCTTCACCTTCTCGCCATCCGCGGCCTACCCTCCCACGATGTCCACCAACGTAGCATCCACCGACAACGCCGCATCCTCTCAGCGGCCCGCTCCTATCAGTATCTCGCAGAGCGCGAGCACAGAGCCCTCCTCATCACCTTCTCCATTCTCAGACCAGCGCCAGGCATCCTCGCACTCCTCCTCGAGCGAGACGGGCGATCACGATGTCATCCCTCCAAACCATCCTGCACGCACGCTAGTGCTTTGCTTCGATGGCACTGGCGACCAGTTCGACACTGATGTACGCATGCTCTCTATTCATGCGCATATATGCTCCTACTCACATAATCTCGTCTCCCCACCAGAACTCGAATATTGTGACCTTCTTCAGCTTGCTCAAGAAGGATAGCAGGGACGAGCAGATGTGCTACTATCAGGTTTGTACAGTATCGCGACATGTCCGTGGTAGTGGTGACTCACGCGCAAATAGTCGGGCATAGGGACTTACATCGGCCTAGGAGGCGTAAACCCCATCATGGCCAAGGTCGACAAGGTCCTCGACGAGATGATCGCGTGGAATCTCGCCGCACATGTCCAGGGCGGTTACGAGTTCCTTATGCAGAACTGTCAGTCAACGTTTGCTGTTGGGTGTCAGGCAAGGGCTCATGTCTCCGATTCCTACAGACCAGGGCGGGGACAAGATTTGTCTATTCGGCTTCTCGCGAGGCGCATATACCGCCCGTGCTCTAGCTGGGATGCTCCACAAGGTCGGAAGCATTCCATGCGCGTGCAGTTGGCCCGTGTTCTCATCTGCTATGTTTTGCAGGTCGGCCTGTTGCCCACGTGCAATCATCAGCAGGTGCCATTTGCGTACAAGATGTACGCGAGGGACGACGACGTCGGCTGGAAGCAATCGACCGCCTTCAAAAAGGCGTTCTGCATCGACGTCGACATTGACTTCATTGGTGTTTGGTATACAATGGTGTCTCCAATTTCCAGAAACTATGCTCATCGATGCTTCAGGGACACTGTATCCTCCGTCGGTGTCATTCCGCACACCCTTCCGTTCACGAGGTCGAACACGGCCATCCGTGTGTTCAGGCATGCCTTGTCGTTGGACGAACACCGTGCGCGCTTCAAGGCGAACCTCTACCAGCACACCACTGACGAGGAGGCGCGTGGTACAAAACCGGGCGAAATGCCCAAGTCGGACACAGCTTGGGCGACGCGCGTCGGCTGGTCCACGCCCAAGAGGCCCACCCTCAAGAAGAAGAAGCGGTCGGAGCACGAGAGCGATTTCGATATCGCCGAGTCTCACCAGCAACGCACGGACGCGAAGGAAGTCTGGTTCGCTGGTTGCCACTGCGGTGCGTCGCGCGATATGGCGAAGCTCGCCCTACGCACTCACTCACGACTCCTACAGACGTCGGAGGGGGCTCAGTCAACAACGACACGCCGCACAGCCTGGCCCGCATCCCCCTCCGCTGGATGATCCGCGAATGCTTCAAGTGCGACACCGGCATCCGCTTCCACGCCGAGCTGCTCAAGAACATAGGCCTCGACCCCGCCGCGCTCCACCCCATCGTCAAGGAGCGTCCCGGTCCGCTCCAGCCCGACACGCCCCACTTCGACACCGTCGCGCCCCCGGTCCCCGTAGTGAGCGAGGAGGAGCACGAAGTGCGCGACCTGTTGTCTCCGCTGTACGACCAGCTCGTCCTCGCGCCCTACTGGTGGATCCTGGAGTTCATCCCGATGACCCAGCACGTGCAGGGACCGCCGCCGGCACGGAAGATGGTGAAGGCTCTCGCGTAAGACTTCCTGCTCCATCGTGGCTTGATAGCAACTTCTCACACGTCCACACAGAGCGAACTTGGGCCGCGGTCGTGTGATCCCCAAGCACCATACGCCGTTCTACGTTCATCGGAGTGTGCAGACTCGCATGCAGGTCAAGGGCTTGAAGGGTGGTCCTTACCGCCCCAAGGCGATCTACCACAATGAGCCGATCTGGGTCGATTGAGTGTCGTATGCATCTGCCTAGCTATTCGTCTTCCACACGCCTGTCGATGTGTCGTCTTGCACTATTGTATACTACTATCCTACGTATCTCTCTAAGTGCAATCTAGCTGTCATTTCTTGCGATTCATCCATGCCACGACTTGCACTCGTCTCCAAGCACGGGAGTCAAACACTTGACGCGATCAAGATGCAAAGTCCGTTGAATGCATCGATTAGCCAGTCCATAATGATAGCTACGAAAGAAAGACAGCCGTATGGTGCAGCAGTTCTGAACGAACCGAGTGTGAATGCGTGAGTCTCGAATGTCCATGCTACTTGTGGTGGAATGTGTAATAGGTAGAGCGGGATAACAGTAGAGAGGAGGGCGTAAAAGTCAATAGCGAAGGGGGGGAGCCAATTCGTGTTCACGTGAGTCCGTAGTCAGCGTCATGAAGAACAGGTCCTTCAACGAAGTACACTGTCTGTCCTGCCTTGCCGGCAACCCCGGCCTCGTCGCGACCAGCTCAAACGTGCGCGCACGAGAACAGCGGCGCTCAGATCCTCGCAACAGCGCCGACGGCGCCAACGAACGCGCCGATGACGCCCACGAGCAGGGCGGTGGTCACGCCCGCGGGGAGCTGGGGGGCCGCGGCGTTGAACGGCACATACGGGTCCGCGGTCTGGGACGACGACGAGCCGTCGGTCGAGTTCACCTGGTCCCCGGTCAGGTTCGCGCCGTTGGGCCCGATCGGGCGCGACGCGTCGGTGAAGGCGCACGTGGAGGAGTTGCAGATGCACTGGCCCTTGATCGGGTCCCAGAACGGCGTCGAGCAGTTGGACGAGACTAGGAGGGATTATGAGTTCTGGACGGCGAGCGTGCGGAGGTGGAGAGGGGGTTACTTACGACGGAAACGGGGTGCCTGCGAGCCGGTCGCCTGGGGAGGGCTGGGGTCGGACGGGCTAGGGTGGTCCGCTGGGCAGCCGTACTACAAGTATGAGTCAAGTTAGTTAGCTCATGTCGCTGGCGGTAAACAACGGAAAGACGTACGCAAGTGTAGAAGGGGAAGTCGTTGAAGGCGCAGAGCTCGACGAGACCCTGCTCGTTCTGCGGGATACCGTTGCAGATCTTCATCGACGAGTCTACCGCGGGCGTGGAGCACTTGAGCGGCGCGAAGTTGTCCAGCTGCGAGACCGGCACCGGGTTGCGGACCCACTCGAGGAGCTGCTCGGACGAGACGATCCAAACTGGAATGAAGAAGCACGCGAAGTCAGTCACCATATGCATGTGTCCGCGTACACCAATTCATACCATTAGGCTGCTCCTGTGCCCAGTCGAGGAAGCTGTTGATCATAGCGATAGTCGACTTCGACGCCGTCGATCCCGGAACAGAGAGCTAACGGAGATGTCATCAGTGCCAAGACTGTGGCCTCGCCCAACGCTCGAGACTTACAGAGACGTGGATCGGGTGCGTATAGAGACCCAAAGGCTGACGTTTCGCGTTGTAGTGAGCGGTGAAAGTGGACTTCAAGTACTGGAGCGTAGCGGTGTCGTTCACAGCAGTTGCGCCGTTTGCAGCGTCGCTTGAGAAAACTGTGAGTAACTCCACAAACCTGTTTCGATGCGCATATAGCCACTTACAGCCAAGGGTCCATCAAGTGAATGCCGTCAACGCCACGCTCGTCGAAGAGGGCGTACATCGGGATCTCCCAGAATCCAGGGAGCTTAGGCTCCCCCTTGCAGATGCCGTCGACGGCGAGACAGTCGTTAGCCATACCGTTGTCAAGTGTGTAAGGCCAGTACGCGTCCGTGCCGTCGGCGTCGACGGGGAGAGACGCGGACGCGGACGAGTCGTAGGTGAAGCCGAGCTGGTGGAGCATCTTGAGCGTGTCGACGCTGTAGTTGAGGAAAGGAGCGCGGAAGCCGATGATGGACGAGAGCGGGACACCGGCGAGCTGGTTGAGCGCGATCAGGTTACCGGTAACCTCGTCCTGCGGTGGCGTGCCGACGTGGGTCATACTGCATACAGATGAAATGGAGAGTTATATACGGTCCACTTGGAATGGAATGAACGTATGGGACGTACGTATGATCGGCAATTTCGTTGCCCGCCACATACCAGTCGGTGACCAGGGTGAAGTTGGTATAGTCGATCGAGGTGTAATATGTCATCTTGGGCGTGCACCCGTTAGGGTTTTTGCGGTGGGCGAGGAACTGGTTGACCGCGTCGAGCGTGTAGCTTTGGACTGCATCATCAGCCGTGAAGACGACAAACATGGGCGTGTCGGACTGTCATGGATTGAAGATTCATTGTCAGCGTGCGAATACTCGAAGGAGTTTACGGAGATGAGAGAAGAACATGCGCGAGACAGAATCTGTCTGTGCCGGACATGCCAGATAGGCTCAAGCTTCGATCACTCACCGGGCTGAGGCCACCAGGAGGGTCGGTGCTCGCACAGTTGCAATTGGGCAACTTGCAGCTGTTGGGGTCGCAGGAGTAGCCCGCGGCGCTGGAAGAGCTCTGGGGACCGGAGAGGGAGCCGTCCTGAGCGAGGACATGGCCCAACAAGGGGAGGAGCGCTGCGAAGAGCGTGAGCGGAAGCATGTTGGATTTCGAGCGAGCCCAAAGGAAAAGGACCGCGAGCTAGTGGGGGCTATAGGGTACCGGGACAAGGAGGGAATATGGAGCAGAGAGTATATAAAACGAGGGACTCGAGCGGGGGCGGTCTGGAATCGAAAGAGGGAGCCAACTGACGACAAACGCCCAGCGCTCGGTCACATCAGGCCGTCAGCAGTCTTTGGCCGTGCGCCGGACTGCCGACCCCGATCCGAGTCGCTGCTCGTCCACATCCTCGACAACATCCCAGAGCGGGTTCCGAGCACTATCCCCGCCTCCTGCCATGCTGAACCACGTCGATTGCCTCTTTCGTCGTCGCACCAGGCGGAGAAGCTGCGTACTCTCCCAGGAGCGCTTCTATGTCGCGGGTATTGTACAGCCGCCCGAAATCCTGCCGCGTTCACGCCCACGCCCCCGGCATGCGCCCTTAGGGCGCTATAAATACGGCTGATGACTTCCAGGACGTTCATCGCGCCTCGAGACGAAGGTGAGCAGCCTTGCAGTTCCTTCTGCATGTTCCTCTCGTGTCCATAGTCCTCTTTCCAGCATGTTCTTACTCTTTGGCCCTCGCAACCACCGTGGAGCAAGACCGCATGGTGCTCACAGCTTCGCCAGACTAACAACGGCGCTTCCTATCATCAGGTCACGGCGAGTCCTGCAGATAAATACATAGCCTCAAAAAGCTAAGGACATCGCTGCTGCGCGTATCTCAGAACGCGCGCCCTATGCTACTTAGCTTCGGCGCAAAGCTCTATCCACACGGAAACGCGGAAAGCTTGCTCAACTACATGCACGGAAAGGGCATGACAGAATAAGAGTTTTCCGGACGGTCAAACACCTCAGCGTCCTTATCGCGCATGAGGAGCAGAATTCCAAGCAATATGTGGTCTAGGTATCTATGACCTAGCGGTTGGACGACCAGCGATCGGGGAGGGTAGGGAGAGAAAGTTGCTATGAGTGTCGATTGAATGTATGCCTATACATTGAAGTAAGTCGCCCGTATCGGACATGCAGGGGTCAGCGCGGTCTTACCTTCCATTGACTTCGGCTGAGCTTCCAGACGATGGCAGCACCGTCACCAACGTAATAGGTTCGCGACCTGATATGTGGTCGCGCCCATGAGCACTCCGCACGCAAGGTATATGCAAGGCACTGACCCATTTGTCAGACTCTTGGACAACACGTCTTTCAAGGGCCTGCACATATCGCCCATAACCAGAGTCGGCGACACAGACGAGGTGCGTCCAGTCCTACCCCGAAGTCTGTTTCATCAACCTGTCCTTCACACAAGACCACGATGATATGGCATTCCAGCTTACTCGATCTGTCCAACTATCGGCCCGTCCTCCGTCAAGCCGCGTCTGACGATCGTTACGCCCGACCGCGGCGCCCATATGTTCACGCCCACACTCACATGGTACCGCCCCAAACCCGCGATCTCCTCGTCCCCAGCGCTGACCGTCGACGCGAACGGCCCAGCCTGTGCGAAGCGGTACGTCTTCGGGTGTGACGGGAACGCCGCGCTCGCGTACGTAGGAAGCCCGTGCTCGTCCGTCTCCTGCGCTTGCGTCCGCTGCTGTTCCGTCTCCCCGTCTGAAAGTTGAGGCTGGGGTTGAGCGTGGGGCTCCTCCGCTCCCTCGCGCAAAGTGAGCGACGATCTGGCTGCTAGCGCCGGAGGGATCGTCCCGTCCTCCGGGACGCGGTTCAGACGGAAGCTGGGCCGCCGCTCGTGGTTCATCGTGGACCGCCTCGAGGCGACGGACTCCGAGCCCGAGCGGCCTGGGATAATCGACGTAAATTGAAGCACGCTTCTGAAGGAGGTGGGGACGGTGATACTCGAGGGCCTCCTTCGCGCGCCGGGCGCTGTCGTGTCCTGCGCGTCCTCTGAGCCCGTACTCGAGGAAACGCGCAGGCTCTGTCTAGGAGGGTTGCGGCCTTCGAGTATCGCGAGTGCCCGGCGGCGCTCATCCATCGTCTCTATCGAATCTCTGTCGGGTGAGCCATCGGAGGGGTAAAGGGACGACGGCTCGTCGTCGGACGTCAGGGGGGAGGACATGGGCGAAGCGGCGACGCTTGTGTCGCAGAAGACAGAGGGCTCGATGATTAGGCCCGAACGACGGTCGCTGCCGCGGAACATAGAGAAGCGGGTCTTCTTGATGTTAGCGTCTCCAGGACTGGGCTCGGAGTCACTCGATGACCCCGATCGCGAGGAGGGGGGATCTGTGGACCTGCGGAACAAGTCCATTGACCTTCTCTTGATTTCCTGAGCCTGCGACAGCGATACTACCAGCATTCTGTAGATCTTCAAGAGGGGAAAGTCAAGTGAGGTTTGGAAGAGGGGGAAATGACAGGTAAACGAGAGACTGGTGTTCTCTTCGTGCGGTCGCAACTTCCAGTTATATACTCTTGGTGTAGTTAGCTTATGTTGAGTAGCATTCACACCACAGTGGTCTCAGAGTGGGCCAACCTGAACGCAAAGTCGCTGCGGGCGTGGCGAATGAAGCCCGAAGTACGACATTATACCGATTGCGCGAAGGATGTTCCAGGACAAAACCGGAATGTCGGGCGACGCTGCGCTCGCTGTTGAGAGAAGTGGTCTCAGTTCACTGCGCATGCTAGGGAGGCAAATCTCGGACGCACTATGGTCGTACGAGCCTGTAGGGGGTTAAGTCAAGCTAAACAGCGGCAGCCATCCATAGAGGGTATCACGCATATCTGGAGCCATGCCGTGCACTGGGTTGCCACGCAACGATACTGTAGGGTGAACCTTCATGCATCATGGCCTGCGGTGGATCGTGCGCAGGCGGCAGCGGAGTGTTCCTTGAACGTTCAAGGATGTTCTGGCCGAGGTATAACGCCGCATGTAGTATGCATACAGATGGTCGGCGGCGCAAGGCAGGTCGGGCAGATCGGCAAAGCCACGTGGGATAGACGGGTGTCCACGCGAGGCGTCGCCTGAACGTTTCTCTTCAACGCACCTCACGTCAAATTGCAGGCCGACCGACTCGCTCTCGGGCTGAGGCACATGGCCGGTCTGTGCCATTAAAGGGCGGAAAGCGACTGGATCTCTAAGTGCTCAGCTTGTGTAACCGCGAGTCGCGCTGCTTTGGCCGGCTTCTGAGGCTGGAGGAGCAGAGCCGGTAATTCGTACATTCCCTATGGTACCGTTCACGTTGCTAATCTCATCTCATCATCTGTTCGTCTGAACACGCTTGTTCCTCGCTGTGTTGTACCCTCATTCTGGACTCCGACCCGCAATACTATCGTCCTTCTGCAGATACTCGTCCCTGCTTGCAAACCGTACCAGTCGAAAGGTAGTATAGCCATCAGACCATCTTCAACATACAACCCTGCACACTCTCAACAGCCCCGGAAAGCCACTACGAGATAAAACTATTCGACTTATGAAGGCAGTGAGAAGATTTGTTGACCGCATCAAAGGAGAAGCTCCGGAGAGGCCGACAAGCCCAGCGAATGCTCTCCCGGTCGTGCAGACGTCCGAGGTGACGATACCCCCGGCGTCATCCGACATCCTCGACGAGGAGCTCAAAGGCTGGGCAGACGAAGCTGATGTCGGGTTGGACTCCGTGGATGGGGTTTGGTGGCGTTATGGAGATTTGGACGGCGCCTTGGCTCTGGCGCGTGAAGGGAAGGGCTTGGTCGGGTTACAGTTGCATGGTGGTGGGTATCTCGTCGGGAGCGCAAAGGATGTCATGTCGGGAGGCTCTCGTGAGTGTTTCATGTTTGCGATGTGTACTAGCAGCTGAACGACGCTACCTGTCTCCAGGTATACCTCGAGGATTCATCGAGGTGCGTCCTGTTGACTCATTAGAAGTCCCGAAGTAGCTCTTGAGCTCGAACAGCAAGGAGTCTGCTCTTGCCTGCTGTGTGAGCGTACATGTCTTCCTACTCCATGATGTCCGGTGCTCAGACCCATTCATCCTAGCTGTCGAGTATTCGCTCGTCGGTCAAAGGGATGACGAGCCCGAGCATCCCTTTCCAACTCAGCTCCTCGAAGCGTTGTCCGCGTATCGCCACATTGTCCAAACCCTCAACGTTCCATCGAAACATGTCATCCTTATAGGCGATTCAGCAGGCGGTCACCTCGCACTAGCTCTGCAGCGCTATCTGCTGCAAAGCAACGTCCTACCTTCTCCAGGCGGCCTGATCTTGCTGAGCCCGTGGTGCGATCTCTCTGTGTGCGAACGCCCCCGTTCCTCTCAGCATGCATGCGCTGACGCGCCAACTCTACTAGCGAAAGTCATATTCCCCATGTGAAACGTCTGCTCGGCCCTCGGGCTACAGGCCAACTATCCACGCCTTACTTCTCTCCCGCGCTGCACCCACCGCCTCCGCAATGGCCACCCATGCTGGTGTACTACGGCAAATTCGAGCGATTCGTCGCTTCCATCAGCATGCTAGTGTCCCAATTCACGAATGCAGGCGCGCGCATCACGTCCTACGCAGCGGAGGAGATCCCGGAGCGTTTTAGTCATGACTTCCTCATCATGGTCTCCGTGGAGAGGGCGTGGCCGAAGGAGGTGCGTAAGTGTTGGAAGCGGATCAAGGCATGGACGAAGCCGCTTGAGGCTGCATAGGCAACTTTCGTGATTTCGGCCCACTTGACGTCGGACCATGGTCCTGAGGCGTGTATCCCGCGTACGTGGTCCCGTTCACAGCTTCAGGAGATAGTTTAGCATACTAATGGGGGCCATCAGCAAGTATTGAAAAATGTCTGTATGATCGCTATAATGCTTACTGGCGAGATCCAGTGTACGTCTTCGTTGGCGGCAGCTTGTTGAATCCGACAGGTGTCCGACCGTGGGCGAGCTTCTCCGAGAACTGCTCTGCAAATTTGAAGAGGCCGTCGAGGTCACGCTCGGCCACGGACCAACGTTTGGCTCGCAACCATCCTCTCCTCCCGAGGGCGGCGATCGCGTCCCTCGCCCACATCCCACAATCCCAGTCCTCCTCCTGTAGACGTAAGAGCGATGGATCGCTGAGTGCTCTTCCGACGTCCCCGAGACGATCTTCGTCGATGTCAGCGAAGTGGATGCGCCCTAGCATGAGTGGGGAGCGGACGCTGTCCACTCTGCGATGCTCGAATGTCCAGTGGTCGCCTTTCTTAGTCGCGTGGTACATCCGCGTGGCCATCACGCTATCCGTACCTGCTCCCTTGGGTGCAATGAGGAGGGCCCAGTGGAACCGTGCGTCCTGGTTACTCCTTGGGGCGTTGTCGTACGACGCCAGGTAGATGCTGTGTTCGCCCGCCATCGTTCGCCGGATCCTCAAGGGTGCTTGTGAATCGGTGAGTACGTATGAACGAGTCGGCGGGGGCCTTTGATACCCACTTGTGGTGGGTCTAGTGTTATGATAAGGTCGCGAGTAGGCATCAGGGGCTCTTTGAAGGTACTTGTTCCAGAAACAACCGTCTTTGTTTTCCGATTGAGCGCTATGGCTCTCGCTTTGTCTACTCCTTGATCAGGCACTCGTTTGTCTTCACCCCGCGCGCGAATTAGACGGCTAACACATGTCATGCCATCCTCGGCATGCTGAATATGCAGAGTGTAAGGAAATCATGCGACTGCCGAGTGGTCAATTTGAGAGCAACCGTTCCAGTCTCCCAAGTCAAGCGTCTACGAGCCACTGCCTCAACAGCCTGACGGATTCGTCCGGTGATCATGCTGTATACCGACTCAAGTTCTCTGTTCCACTCTCAGCTGATGCGGCACGAGTACTGGCGTCATTCCAGCTAGACCTATGCGGAGGTGAGACTCGATATCTCATATCGTTGCTTAGTCGTTGGCCGAAGGTACTTTCTGAGTAGAGACGATATCGTTCTCCAGCAGGCTCCGCCAAGAGTCGGGATTGCGCTGGTGTTTCCCTCTGGAACGTCTCGTTGTGCGCCATACGCATTTTGCTTGTGACGTCACACCAACATACAGGATGGGACATGCACTAGCAGCAGAACATACAACCCAATCTCCAACTCTGACAAGTCTGGTTCGCGCCGCTGAGACAGGCGACTAGAGTAGTCCCTTAAGAGTAGGAACAAAAAGTCCATCCCAGCACTTGAATCCGACGTCCGAGGTGACCTGGTGCGAGCATCAGACTCTGATCGACGTAATCCGGTAGGTATAAAGAAAGCGCACCGTGGAGGAATTGCATAGCACTCGGACCGGCGAGAATGTCTCGGTCCTGGCAAGGATGTGCTTGGCCACGATGTTCGTGGCTGGTAATGGTATCGTCATGAATACAACAAAGCCCTTTCATGCGAAACACGTAGTCCGACATACCTGTGCCAGGGTACAAGTCAAAGATGATGACTTCCTTGCCCGTCGCGCCCGGGACGGCGTACCTGTTGGGAATAGTATCCGGAGAGTTCTCGTCAGTATCAAGCATGATATCAGGAGGATTTGATAGCAGCGTACCAGCACGGGTCGGTCACGCAGGAGCCTTCGACATAGCCGGGTTTACTGCGGACGACGCGGTCAGGGTGATGGCGCGATCCCAAACCGCCTTGAAGAGGAGACTTACTCGTTGATGGTGCCAACGAAGTTCTCGAAGAGGAAATCTTGGATGTGTGTGTTGTTGGTGCTTGAACTGGACGGCGAACCAACCTAGATAGTCGTCTTAACTCGAGTACCGCTGCTTAAGCTGTGGATTACCTCCTGATCCCAGTAGCTAACAGCGGGTAGTGTGAGCAACCTCTACTATGGTAGTACTGATGCGTACTTACTTCTGAGTAACGTAGATCTTCGATCCCATAGAGCTACTGTCAGTAGGTGAATCACGAATCACGATGATATGTGCCTACCGGGAATAGAACATTATCGAACGCGATGTTCTTCCAAGTAATGCTGCATAACAGACATCAGATTTTTGAGAACCGCGGGCGAAGGATGCACGATTGGCTCACTTCCGTGCAAGACCATTACCTCCAGTCCAGCTCTTGAACCTAGCGGCGTAAAGAGTGTTTTTCTCCACGGAGGATTCATCAGTATCATCGGCAAAAACGACCCTAAGCAAACCTACCATGATCACATTCTCGATCCTGGTCACATGGATACCGAATGGCGTTAGCGAGACGTCTTAATGCTTATTGAATATTCAACCCACAGCACATTCTGAACGTCCGCAACGGAGCCGCCCTTGCCGAGCGAACCAATGGACAGGCCATGGCCGCCTTCGCAGTAGCTGTTCCTATTGTCCATGGCATATATCGAATTCAGATCTATGGGCAGACCGATGGATAGGGTCAAAGCTATTACCTGAAGACGATGTTCTCTGCCCCACTTCCGACAGTCAAGCAATCGTCGCCGTTCTGAACGTGGTTGTTCTCGAACAGCATGTTCGTGCCTCCGGCAGAGAAACCTGTAGGGCGGCATGAGTAGGTCGCTACAACAGGTCAATGAAGCTGTATCAACGCACCGTCACTACAACCGAAACCCGTTGTTTCAATCTGTCAAGGAAAGGAGATCACGCTATGAAGTAGTAACTCACGTATTGAACGGGAAAGACTGGTGCATCCGGTAAGCAGGTTAGCTGTATGTGATTGGGTGCCAAGACTTACACCAGTGCTCGACACAGCGACGATCTTATTGTTGTATACGTGGAGATTCTTCGAGCCACTTGTAGCAAAGTTCCAAGCGATGGGCTATAATGCTCGAAGTAAGCGAGCGAACATCATACCTGAGTTGAAAAGCTGGAGACGAACCTTCCACAGCTTGATGTCACGGATGACACCGTTCGTAATGTGGTTGAACGCCCAACCGTGCGGACGGTTAGTTTGCTGGGCAGCATCCCACCACTGTGCCCGCGCGCGTCAGCAATGACATTCGGATGGAGAGAGCTGTACCACCGCTCACAGCTTGACCGTGTCCGTCAACCCAACCCCACTTGGGATCCGTAGAGCCGCGCAAAGTGACGTTGTTGCCACCAGTAAACGTGAACCTACAGATGAACATCGAGTCAGGACCAGACCGGCACTCCATCCGTCTGTCAAACTCACCATGAACCTGGAAAACCCTGAGTTCCGACGCGAGCTGGTTTCAATGCTATCCGTGAAGTCGCAGCAGCGGCACCACTTACCGAGGCGCTGACGACATCTGAAAAGGACATGTGTCAGCCCAACAAATGCGCAAACTTGTATGTTAGACACAGACTTTGAACGGTAGAAATGTCATCCGGATAGCTGAGGTTCCCCTCTATCGCGATCTCCACATTGGTGAACGTGGGGAATTTGATGGGGGTGAATATGTTGTACTTGGTGCCCTTCGCAAATAAAATGGTCGCATTGGCCGAATAATTCCCTGACGCTAATGCCGCCTTCAAGACAGGGGTATCATCTTGTCCGTCTACGTGGGGTACAACGAAGGTATTCCAAGCCGTGACATGTCCAGTCAAGAGGAGGAGCAGTGCAAAGTGTCTTTGGGCCATTCTGCTAGGGTGAAAAAGAGAACGGTGGCAGAAAAATGACCACTCATCGGCTGTATGCTCTTATAGTGAGATGGCACGCGCATCCTGGCAATTAGGATCGCGTCGGTCTCGAGGAAGACAGGGACTACCAGGCACGACCTTGGGCATCACGTGAACAAGCAGGCATCATGTGGGGGCTACATACGCTGTAAGAATCGGGCTGCGATAATACAGGAGACGATCGTGTAGAGACAAGTCCGTTCGCTGGGCGAGCAGATGACCGGTCATACACCATCAATCCCAACGGCCCGCAACCGACACCGGCATCTGCTCCGTTTACCCCGACGGGCCCCTCGGGACCGCCGGCCCCTTGTCTCCGGACCACGCGGCACATGATGTCGACCAGTGGTAGCACGCACTGATTGGAATTTTGCGCGAGGCCTTCCAATCTGTGGCCCTCGTGAGCCGCAACTCAGTACTTGACATGTTGTTGCGATGCGTATCAGCTTTTGACAATTGGCAAAGTTTCGGACCACATTGGCGTCGATGTTACGACATCGAAGGTACCCGGCGAGTAGCTGCACTGATACAGGTGGTGACGCCGATTGAGCGAGCGTCTGCCAAGGTTTGAAGCATCATATCGGTTTACTATAGCCCTCAGTGTTTTCAACTCTAGAGTTAGGGCCGCCGCACCGATTTAACGGTATCTCATGGTTCATGAGATGCCACAGAGTCAGCAGTCTTCGTGATTTGATTCTCTCTCGGTGACGGAATACCGAACAGTATAGGCGGAGCCTCGACTATCGCTTGTGTGGTCACAACATGCATGGAGTCGCAGGCGAGGCAACGGCGATGGAGACGGGCGCTATGCATCCTTTATAATCGGCGAGTAGAGGGAGGCGACGAGTATGATGGGGAACCTGAAGATCAAGCATGACGGTCGAGCCTAAGCGCGGTCTTGTGCTCTATAGCGCTCCTGTGAGTACAAGTCATTGTCAAGGTCTTCAACCGACTCTGACCTTACAACCCTACACAGGCTTCGCCGTATCCTCTGAGGGTAAGGCCAGACCTAGATCCAGCGATCCCGAGAACTCATGACACAGTGCACAGGTGCGCATTGCCCTTGAAGAGGCCCAGGTGAAGTACGATTTCGTGTCGTTTCCTTTGGACGAGCGACCGGACGACTACGTCAAAAATGTATACCCTGCCGGTAAGGTCAGTAATGATCAGTCACATGTGTATGTGTAGAGGGGTGGCGACTTACCTGGACGTAGGTTCCGTTGATGGTATACGGGGGCATCGAAAGCTTCCCGGCCGGAAAGCTGCTCCCCGGATCGGCAGTCATAACTGAATCCCTCGTCATCCTCGAATTCCTAGCAGACCTTTACCCAGATGCCCGCCTCCTACCGGAGGACCCGGTGAAGCGGTCGCAGGCACGCATCTTTATGAACACCTTGAATCTACGGATGACAGATGATATTGCGAAGTGGCTCACCAACAACGACGAGGAGGAAGCATACCTCGACCTGTTACCTCGACCTGTTAGAGGCCTTGCAAGCAACCATGCCAGAAGTGGGTTATGTAGTCGGGGAGTGGTCCATTGCCAACGCCGCCCTCTTGCCGTTCCTGCTGTGGATGTCGGTCATCGTCAAGACAAGGGTCGGATACTACGTGCGGCTCCACAACGTCGAGCATGTGAAGGCGGAGTGGGCTTCTCCTCGATTTGCGAGGCTTCCGCAGCACTATGACCAGTCTATTGCGCGACCGAGCACCTCAGTAACCTGGGACGAGGTATGTACTCCAGCCTTCCGATGTACTCGTGCTGAACCGATCGGGAGCACCTACCTTGCAGGAAAATGTCATCAATTACTGGCTCGCGCGATTTGCGACGGAACTGTGATCACTGATGGTAAGACGAGAGACAGAGAGGGCATTTGCGTTTCTGTAGCTCAACCGACAACCATGACCGGCCTTCTCTCGCATCCTGTGTCCCCAAGCCGTGCGTTATCGTATTAGCATCGATAGGACACGTAGCGTCGTGAATACTGCGAGGGCTGACATGTTGGGGCTGGGAAATCAAAGACGCGCTGCCAATAGTGCACTTGACGAAACGGGAACGACGCCTTCATCGATGGAGGAGAACTTACGACGCGAAGCTTCGCCGTCCGATTCACATGGAGAAACGGTGATTCTCACTACCGGTGGCATCTTCCGGTCGCTCGAAGTAACCTTGATACGATACCTGCGCCAGGCTTGGATTGACTTCGACCTTGACGTGTCGGATACAACTCGCCGCTCCGTTCTAAAAAGCGTGAGTCGGACGAAGCAGTCAGCTGGGGAAGGAACAGTTCTGGATATCTCTGGACACCGAAGCGTACTAACCATAAGTGCCTTTTGGATTGCGGGTTATAGATGCAACATCCGAAGAACCGCGGGGGACGTGATTGCGCTTGGCGCAAGGTGGGAGGCATTTCCTGTAGAAGTTCGAGGGCAAGCGGGCACAAATGGGATTCGCGTTTGGCCGGTGCAAACGCGTGCCGTACGTAGTACATACAATAGACCTTATATACACAGTAGAATAGGGGTAGATAAGGGCGCGGATATCCGTCGGGGGGCGGACCTGTGGCGCTCGTTCCGCGAGCTCGCCATCTTGACGCCAGGATTCCA